TGCTGCGAGGACAACAAGACCCCTGCCCACGGACCCAACTTCGAAGGATGTTGCTTATTGCACGCGTTTGGATGCTGCCCAGACAACCGCAAGCCTGCCGAAAGACAACATCTTGAAGGTGAAATCCAAAAATTTGTCGTAAAAATTATGCAAACATGTCAAAAATACAAATATTATGAAAGAAAGAAAAAACATTTATTCAGCACCAGGCACGATGCAGCATAAATAAAATATAAAAAGACAATAAAGGTGTGACAGTGGAAGCTATAAAAATGATGCATCCGCTGTTTCTGTTAGGACCCCAAAGTTTTACAAATATTGAATTTTAATTTGAATATAGTATATACCTATTTATTATCCAGTTTTGTATGTCTATTATTATTCTAATGATCTGTCTTGTCCTTAGGATGTGGGTGTCAGTACTCGCTCCACGGATGCTGCCCTGACAACGTTACCATCGCTCAGGGAGCAGACAACCTGGGCTGCGGCTGTCAGTACACACAGCATGGCTGCTGTCCAGACAGGTGCAGATTGTGATCTGTATACATAGTGCCTTCTTTCTGAAATATTTTACGACTTATACCGATATGCTGACTGCCGTCAGGAATCTGGCCATCTGGAAGTCAATGTTGCTTTAATTTACTTTAATATGGAAACAATACATCTAAATTAATATTTTTACTTATTCAGACATACGGCTGCCTCTGGCCCCAACAACGAAGGCTGTGGCTGCAGCACGTACCAATTCGGTTGCTGTCCTGACGGCGTCACCATCGCCAAGGGACCTGAACAGCAGGGCTGCCACTGCCACTACTCCTTGTACGGCTGCTGTGGAGACGGCGTTACTCCAGCGACTGGTCCTGACGCTGCAGGCTGCGACTGCTCCTCCAGTAAACATGGTTGCTGCCCCGATGGAACTACTGAAGCGGCTGGTCCTAAGTTCCTTGAGTGTACTGATGTACCTGAAAATAAACAAGGTAAAATTAAAACAATAGCTTATTTCACAATCATGAGTTGTGTAGTCGCTTTCATAATGTGAACTTTCCTTTGTACCAGCTGCCTGCAGCTTACCCACGGACCCAGGCTCATGTCTCAACTTTACGGCGATGTGGTACTTCGATATGACATACGGAGGCTGTTCCCGTTTCTGGTACGGAGGCTGTGAGGCCAATGGGAACGTCTTCGCCACTAAAGAGGACTGTGAGGACGTGTGTGTACAGCCCTCACCTAAAGGTAAAGTTCCAAATAAATCAGTGGTCGTAATTGTAAATCGTAATGGAATATTAATTAGCGCTTTTTAAAAAAACCCTTTTTTCAACTATAGGATCCTTTTATTTATTACAACATAACATAACATCACGCCTTTTTATCCCCGAAGGTGTAGGCAGCGGTGCAAACAGAAGTAACACCCACTTTTCACTATTTCTGTTATGAGTCCCATGTAATAAGGGGGTGAGCCTATTGACATATACCGGGCACACTTCCAGACTCCGTGCTACTACAAAGATTTTTTTTTTAACCCAGTAATAATTTGCCCGACCCGGGAATCGAACCCGACACCCCTTGTCAGGCAGTCGCACTTGCGACCACTCGGCCAACGAGGCATTATTACAACTTTCACGATAATATGTATTCTTGTAGAAGTATGCAACCTTCCGAGCGTAAAGGGCGCCTGTGACGGTAGCTACGAGCACTGGCACTACAACAGCACCCGCGAGCAGTGTGTTCCATTCCTGTACGGAGGATGTCTCGGCAACGCCAACAACTTCAAGACTAAGGAGCTCTGCCAGAAGCAATGTGATTCTAAAGCAGTTAAAGGTTAGGAGTCACGAGTGACTAAATATTGTATTTAAGATTAAATTATGGGCTGTGCTAATGGACGCTGTTTGATGATAATTTCTCAATAATATTGCAGGGCAATGCGACCTGCCAATCGAGCAGGGCTCGTGTGCCGGCAACTTCAGCCGCTGGGGCTTCAACCCTGACACTCGCAGCTGCGAGCAGTTTATATGGGGAGGATGTGAGGGCAACTCCAACCGGTTCAATACTGAGGCCGCTTGTCAGATGCGCTGCAACCCACCAGGGTCACAACCACGTAAGTAATGAAAACCGTCTATCTTGTTTGATGGAAACAAAACTAGTCGGGTTTTAACATTTTTGGGACTGTGCTATGTAGCATTCCCATTTTTTACTTCAAAATGGCTTGACTTGTAATCGAATTTTGTGCAGTAGTTAGTTGCAAAGTAGGGTTTGGGTAATTTCAAGTAACTTGCATGGTTTGTGTACGCTTATTTGAAATGGTTCGGACAAACAATTAAACAGTTATTATTAGACTATATTGTTATTCTGAAGCTCACTTTGAATGAAACTCCAAAACCATATACTTATACCTATTTATTAAAAATCTATAATGTTTAATATGATACACACCTTGATATTACTCTTCTAACATTTTCCATATGTCACTAACAATGGATTTGGAAACAGCTCAGTGCGCAGAGCCACAGGAAGCAGGCTCTTGTAGCAATAAGGAAGCACTCTGGTCCTTCAGTGTGTCAGAAAACCGCTGCGTACCATTCTACTACAGCGGTTGTGGAGGCAACAACAACAGGTTCCCGTCCAGGGAGGCTTGTGAACAGACCTGTCCTGCCGCTTACGGTTAGTTCAATATT